CTCGCCCGGAAAGCGTGAGGTGCGGGTTCGACTCCCGCCTGGGGCACGACTTTTGCCCATAACTCAGCATTCTTGTGATACCACAGATAGTTTCAAACTCTTCTGCACCTAAGACGAGCCAGACGCGTGGCACATCTCAAAAAATGTGTCAAAAAGGCGCACTGCGCGTTGAGGAATTCTCAGCGAGCTAGGTTTGCTAGGGAGGGTCGTGTTTGATCGCTGATGGTGACCTTCCTAGATTAGGAAAGGTAGAGGAATTTTGGGCATCGATAAGTACATTCCATATCCCAACGGTGGGTAGGGCTCGACCGCGCACCTCGCTCAAATATAGCTTGGATGCTTTTTTTTGCGGGATATTTCCATTTGAGACAGCTGTCTTGTGCCTGGCTAAGTCATGATTACATTTTTCCTGAGACGGAAATATCTTCCCATAATTGCAGCAGCCTCATGTTCTAGTGATGCACGCGGCCACGCCCAGCTCACCTGCTTGATATGTAGTTTAGCTCATGTTTTACAACTCGAGCGATTCACTCGCGCGATATGAGTATCAAGCGAAACCGTCCGAACGTGCTCGATTGTTAATGATTTGGTCATATTAACGGTTGAAAGAATTTTTGTCCTGAATTCTATTGAACTGGCATTTAAGGCGGTCCTAAGATGAGCGGTGAGGGTGTAAGGAGCCACCTTCGAGTTGCGGCAAGCGATAATACATGGCGAGCTAGAGAAGGGCTTTTTCAAGGGGGAGGAACTCCTGCGGCGGGTGAGCCACTTATCATCTGTGAAAAACTGGAATGTGTGAGTTCACAGGGGGTCCGAGAAGGCCATGCGGACGGTAGCTTGCAGATAAGAACAGAACATTGACACCATTGAAGGGATTGAGTCAGGACACGTCATTAATTGGGGATTTTGATCGAGTCCGTACGACCCTCCCCTTTTTTTAGGGAAAACTGTCGAGCGCGGAGGGGATGGGGCAGGGCATAGTACACATGAAACAGAAAAAAAAACCACGAAACGTCAGCAACCTCTCCCAGAAGGTCAGAAGGGCCCCACCCTTAACAACGTCCGTAAAACAAGAAAAATCAACTATTAAAATAACTTTCCCTCAGCCCAAATACGATCCCCTCTCCTAGCGACCAAATGCGACCCCTCTGTTTGTGGAATCCCCAACAACGACGTGCCCTGGACTGAGTTCCCGTAAACGTTGGAGTGGATACGAGGCAGCAGCGCATTACGAGAGCGTCGTGGTCTCGCTAGCTCAGTCTAAGCGCCCGTCTCCCAGGTATGTGGCAAGAGAATCGTGATTCCGCGCGCTGGTGGGCGTTGCGTGCGACGTCGCGCCCGCCAATGAGGACGACTTTGAGTGGTATTAGTCGAGACTGGACAAGGTGTGACCAAAATATACATACTTCTACCAGGTCCTTGTCTACATCATATCCGATGCTCCAATCGAAAGGGTAGCGCAAATTGAGGGAACGTCGCACCAGATGCCACGCGCGATGAAGCGGCAATTCACGATTCTCTTGCCCGTTTCCCTTCGTCTCTCATAGTCGACCATTCTATTACTACTGTCACTACCACTGCCAGCTTTCAAGATAGAAGAAACGAAAGCTGTAGAGTTGGAAGGTCAGAAAACAAAACACAAAACTTATTAAAATTTATTAAAATACATAAAAACATCAAACACAGGAATGGCACAAAATGTGTTGAGCAAGGTCCTTCAGCGCCTTGCTTCTCAACGCTTTTTTTCCTAGAATCATGAGACTTTTGCACTTTGAATTCGAGAGATCTTTCCGACAGAAAGATTTCAGAGCTGATAAAAACGCACTACGAATCGATTAAAATTCAATAAAATAATCTAAACATTAAATAAAAAACATGCACCCGTGGTCTATCATCAATAACGAATCTACCCACATTACCGGTTAAAAAATAATGTCTATTCTATAGAGGCATATTCCATTTATACAAACAGCGGGCAGGAGCTGCACAACGAAAAAGGGCGCCGTTGCTGCGAAATGTCGGATGGCGGATCAGTATCTCTACAGTATCAATCAGGCTTTCTACCCAACCTCGGTTACAGCTGTGGATTAGATTTGAGCCCCACTACCGAATACGCAGACATAAACTGCCACTCGAATTACGGTGGATACAGTAGAAATGACAAAACCGCTGGAGCCATTTCACGCTCTGCCCTTGGTTTTCGTTGGCTCAGACGTCGGTTTGCAGTGACAAAGGTGCTTTAACGAGTCGTCAACACAGTTCCCATTCTTTCTGTATCGATCCAGTCGATCGATCGATCTAGACGCCATTTCGAAGCCATGATCAGTCTGACGAACGATTGCCTGAATTTCTGAGTTTTTAGCTGAAAAATGGCTGAAAAGGAAAAGAAACTGGAGAATATTCGTTTTAGTTGAGCTCCACCACCTCCTCATCTAATGGCAAGTCATCCCGTTGGGGGGGGGGGGTGGATTTGCAAGACAGGCCCCCCCTCGTTGGGAATACACAACGCAAGGAGGTGCTCTGCCCACCACAATCTGCTCATCTACTCCTATAATTGCTAACTACTCACGATTAAACGACTACCAATCCTGCCTTCACCCTTTCCACCTTCATACTCGTACCGGTCGGGAAGTGGTAATCGGAAGTGGGCGGACTCGTGTGAGCATCGCAATCACCTCTGGGTGTAACTTACCAAATTGGAATCCCGGGGAGGGCGATGAAAGTATGAAAGAGTAAACAGCGTCACGTGCGCGACATCTGCACCAGGATCGAGTTGATTCAAAATGGAATTATCAGCGTGTTAAGTCAGTAGCTAAGAGTTACCCTGCTACTTCACGCGCGTTGCCGTGTCGTAGAAGTAATGAACTACACTCGTGGTACTTCACCTTCACCTGAACTCTTCAAGAGAAGGTGCGGTTCAAGGCAGTCGCACAGGACTAAAGACAAGTTGAGCTCAATCCCTTTTGATCCCTGCAAAGTTGCCCTCTTGTTCGTGCTCCATCATCTACATGACCCTTGGTGTTGTTGTTTCCTACGCTGAAAGGGTTTCACTATGTTAAATGGCTAACTCGCCTAAGAGTCGTCTCCCATTGAAAAATCCCCCTCTAGGTTAGCCAAGCTCTCATTATCCCTGCAAACGAAAAAGGGCATGGACCCGAGTGCCAGGCTAGTTGCTTCTTATCAACTAGCTATCGCAACGTGAAACTCACAGCCAATTGTGAAAAAGACTGCCAAACCGCATCCAATCCACAACCCTTCATCAAAGCAGCGCTGGCTCATTTTCCACCTTTGCTGTAGCGGGCAAGTGAGAACAACTGTGGTTCAAGGCCTAGCGTCACATTACCAAACGGCCCCCCCCCCCCTTTACAGGCCCATCCTCCCATCAGTCATGCCCTTTTGCACCACTTGCTTCAAGTGTCCTCTCTGCGCCACTGGGTTTTGGGACGAGGCCATACAAAAAAAATCAAGCAATCACGTAACCCAGTCGCGCAGTGAGTTAACGGTAAGAACCAACAACCTCTCTCCTCCACCTGCTGTTGCGTAGTTCTTGACAAGCATTGTTGGAAACCCGGTTCCACACGTGCTGGAGAACGAGAAGTGTTATTATGGGTCATAAAGGAGCGGCTAAGCATATAAAATCCACGCAATAGAAGTCGAATAAGAAGAGTTCCAACTTACTTTGAACTCTCCATTACATGGTGGCTGAGCTTTTACACTGACCGTATATGTCTTGTAGAGGTTCTCAGGCACATAGGCAGAGATTGCAATTCGTCTGAAATACTTTTTCTAGATTAGAGGCTCACAGCAACACTAAAATACATAAGGGTATGAGTACTGCCTGGGTCTGATCTTAGCACATAACCTCAGGATCTTTGCGATAACTTTCGGAGTGGGAACCGCTGCGTTGAATAGCAGATATCATGCCAAAACGACTAAAAAACAAGTGGTGCTCCCTAACTCCACCCGAAGGAGCTTGTGTAGGGGGGGAAGGGGGGAACTGCCTCAGAGCCAGAACAGCTGCGATGCATTATCTAATGATTAGATCGGATCGTTTTTGGAAATAATGATGAGGAAACGGGAACACAACTGTTTGGCGCGAAGTGGCTGGAAAGTGATATGGCCGACTGCTTGCGTCACAGAAAGTCCGCTTCTTTCCCAGCACTGAAGAGGGGGGTTGTACTGCTTATGAAGTGCAGCATAAAAGCATTAATGATAGGCTAAGTGAGCATTCCATAAACCGAGTGTTCGGGCTAAAGCTAATTCCTTATTGAACTCGCCGGCGATGATGAATGGCTTCGTCGTTCAAGCAGCGGTGAAGGATTCGATCCTGCTCTTAGGAGTGCATCAGGGGGACTCTCTGGTAATCCATGAAAACTCGCGCTGCCTTCAAAATATGATCGATAGCCCTTGGAAATACATCTTGGTGACTGTTGTTGCACAAGAGATATTGGGTGTGACCTCGCTGGTAGCAAAAGGCACGCCCAGAAATAACTGGCATTCTACTACTGAGCACTCTACCTCTAACTCTACCTGTGAATCCCATTGTAAACCTATAATTTCTTCAGAGCCCATTATATCTTACAGTGGTACTCTGCGGGACCAAAATACTCCCAAAAACGAACACACTTCCGTCCGGATCGCCACGGGGAATATTTTACTTTCAGCCGCCCACGTGTGCGGTATATGCTTTGAAGATGTCCAGGACTGATGTGTGCATTTCACCTCCCCCTTTGTGTTAAAGACAACTAAGCACACCCCCGAGGATCGTGATCATAACCATGTGTCAAGCCGAATGGGTAAATGGGTGATAGAGTGTCATTTTCTCCACTCATGGGTGCAAGGGACGATGTAGGAGGGTAACGAAATCCCTGTGCCGTCTCCTCGACTCGCTGGGGCTGCCTCACGGGCAGCCGGGAAATACCATCCTCGAAGGGGAGCAGACAGTTTGTCTCCATTGATTCCGCGTCAACTGATGAAGCAAATAGGTTAGGTTTGAAGTAACTTGTAGTCTCTCATTTTCTTGTCATGCCTCACCTTGGAAGCAAAATAAATAAATAAACAAATAAAGGTGCGACTAGCTGAAGCGAAGCGGCATGAAACAATCGTTTCATGCACGTGCACATGAGGTGCATATTATACGAGAAAGGTAGAGGAGGCAAATAAAACTCACATAACGGTATCGCAATGTTTCGCAGAGATTCGTAACATTATTGTCTCTCAGAATCGAATTCACATGCTGTAGGAGGAATTGTCCTGCGTCCACGGCTACCGGTGATGACCTCCAAAACGATAAGTGAGAAAGCTTGATCAAAATAATACCAAGGAGATAAGTGTAGGTCAAATACGCCTTCAAAGGCCACTATGATTGTAAGTGGAAGCCGAGTACGTGGCGCATCCAGCTGTGAGATTTTGATCAAAACTATCCTTTCTTTTACATTCATTCAATCAGGGGGAGAAATTGATGCAAGGAGAAGATCACCGATCGAGAAGGGGGAGCTATCCATTAGTAGTGGTAAAACTGATAAATGACGATTAGATGAAAAAGAGAGAAAAATAGATGAGGATCTTATGTTTGAGATTTTGCTCGATCTGTGCTAAGAGACTAAAGAAATCAAAGAAAAAATTGAAGCAAGAAGCTACAGCCAGCAGACGCAAGGATGCGTGAAGGACCCAGGGCTTGGGGTAGCGCCTGCGTGCTCTCGAGCAGGTGTGCGACCGCTACTGGCGGAAAACTCGCTGGCGGTGCGCCAAACCCAGCACAGTGACACGCCCTAGCGTCCGCAGAGAACGAGACTGTTATTAAGCTGATCTAAAATGAACCTTGCGGCGCTTGTACGAACTAGCTAATGTTTCCTAACTAGTTAATTTGACACACTTTCTGATTGAATCAAATAGGTCACGATGCGACCACATCCGAGTCGTTCACCGCGTCGCCGCGGAATGGACTTCTCAAACAACACCTAGAAATTGCAGCTTTTGAAATGTCACCTTTCTAACTGTTCGGTAGGATATTGACACGTGCAGTAGGACATAGGAATCGGTAGATTTTTGCATGTTCTTTCCACACATCAGTTTGCGATCGCAAAAATGATGGTAAAAAAAAAAAACCTTCTGTATTCGCCATCGATTTTCATAGGAAGCACGATGCAGGTGAAGTTTGTGGCAGGTTTGGTACTGAATATGGAAGCTAAAAATGAACATAGATGAATGATGAGGCTTTAAATCAAAAGACGTGGGTGGGGGAAGAGCAGGCTATTCGAGACCGACGATCAGTGTACAGCATTGTGATGTGTGAAATGGTGGTGTCAGTAAGACCCCCCCTCCCTCTCGAAAGAGGGTCCGGTACGACCCCCCCCCCACCTGAAAAAGGGTCTCGGTACGCCCTCCTCTTTACTTACCTACCAATTTCCCACATTTTTTCAATAAAACTTTTCGTCGGTCGAGCAGGAGGAGGGGGGTGGGGATATAGTATATAGCACACATCGAACAGGAGAAATCACGAGAAAGCAACAGCCGGGAAAATTTTTTTAGCGGCTCTTAAACTTTCTCTCAAAAGCACATATGACCACACGACCCCCCCCCCTCCCCTCCCCAGCGAATAAGTACGATCCCCCAATGTGTCACGCAATGATGCTGTACCCAGTGGACGATGTTTCCTTATTTCCCCACAGTCTACAGGGGGGCCCCTCCATGACTTTCAAGGCGCTATAAGTTACACTTTATTGAATTTTTACCGGACATTTTTACTACCATATTAAAGAGCACATTAAATACTATAATGATACTCCGACAGC